TTACTGGCGAGACGGAATCTCTCGAACCTCCGTATCCATTTGGACCACTCCTGCGGTTTTGAAAAGTCGAAGGATTCCGGTGGCTGGATGCTGAATGTCGCGCTCGGCCCCGCCGGTGCTCTCTGTGCAGTCTCATCCGCCATATTCTCCCCTCGTTATTCCGCGAGCTCCGCCAGACACAGGTTCGTTCAGTCGAGGTTATATGGATCAGTACAGGACTTCTGACACCATGTCGTGTTATTCAATTATACGCGGGTCCACTGTACGATTCATAACCACACTTTATTTTCTTGTTCTTGCTCTGCCCCCACATAACATAACATTCTATACAGAAACACACCAGGTCTCGCCCTCTAGCTGCCATCAGCCTAACTACACTGACCGGCTACATTAACATCTGCTATACAATGCAATTACACCACACCCCCTATCTACAATCCAACTTATATTGCAAGTGGAGCACTGGACAATGATGCCCTGAACTTTCACATAGACAAACTGCTACAGTCTTGGCTGTCTTGTACTTGCTTTATGCTTAACTTTAAAAAAGAATCTTTGCCAAGGAGGTTGTGTTTTTGGTTGCATTTGAATGTATGCATGCATGTCATTCTGGCTTAAACACAAAAGCCCAAAAGGTTTCAGCATTATAGCTGAGCCCAAGCCTTTAACTTAGAAGTTATGATTCTTACAATTATGGTTTGTTTTTTCATTGTATAGAGCATACTGGATAAACATCTAATGTATCTTGTCATAGTCGACCTCTGACCTCTACTTCAAGGTCAGTAGATTTGAAATTAAAGATTAACTTTTAAAAAACTTTGTCTTTAAAACTATACTTAAAATCCCTTTATTTGTATAGGCAATATTTAGGAAATGACACTGGTAAATGGTGATTGTAAAATCACATTACAATTTTTATCTAAATCACATTTGATCTCTGATCTTACTCTTAAATGTCATGTCTGCCTTTCATTCACATTGACCCCCAAATTTGTTATATCTTTAAAGAAACTACTGTTATATCAAATAATGAGCTGCATAGTTAGTAAGTAATATACTACAGTATAATATAACATTGTATAAAATGCTGAAGTTATTTATGTCCAGTTATTTACAAATCAATACCTATTATCCATTGTCTACTTCAACGTTTGCGTAATCAAAGTAAACATCTGTCATGCTACCCTCTTGGAGTGCTTCATATAAAACTATTTAATAAATTAGTTGCTTTTCCTAAGACTTTGGTTCTGTTCATTGCTTTTCAAGGTAGGCCATGGTATTGTCACTTCTTAGAATCTTGTTACCGTATAGTAAGTTAACAATAGTCTGTACTGACTTCTGTACTGGCTCCTTTTCCTTTTCTCTTATGTTAGATTTGTATTGTTGATTGTCATTTATGCTTAGAAATATTTACTTATATATGCTTAGAGTTTTGTAATTAGTTGTAGATTGGTAGAGGTTTTGATCCTTGATAGTCTGCAAACTTTGTGTGTATTAGACAGCACTTTGGGAGCATGAGAGGTCATACCGTGTCTTATTGTTTTATGGTAGGATTAACGTAGTTGCGTCTGTTCTAGTCTAAGTGCTCTTTGTTTAGATGAACTGCAGGACTTCCTCACCGTGTTATCTAGGATGAACCATCTAGGGTGAGGGGGAGGCTACCCTCTTCCTGACCAAGGATGTTTGACCCTTTGATCAGCAGTCAAACACCACACACACACACACACACACACACACACACACACACACACACACACACACACACACACACACACACACACACACACAGGCAAGGTACTCTTTGTGTGTATGTAGACGTCATATGTTAATGAACTTATGCATATTCATGTAACCTCAATAAAAGAACAGTGGTACGGGAGAACGGACGAGAGCAACTGGGGTCAAGCGAAGGAACGGTGCCTGTCCGGTTCTCTCCCGTGCACGAGAAACATGAAGAAGCTTGCCTACTTGTGTCTTGCTTTGCAGTGTAATTATATTGTCTTCAACGTTCCAGCGGATGGGTTCAAGCTACAAACCTATCACTTAAATACATTCCAAATTTTAGTGTTGAATAGTCTATGTTTTAATTATAGGCAAGTACAAAAAAAAAATCTTTGAATGATAAAAACTGAAAAACCGCACCCTTACTTTTGGTTTTGGGTCATTGATAACAACGTTAAATTTTGAAAAATTATTGGAGTCCAACTCTGAATATCTGCACACATGTAACTGATTTAGTCTTGTATTAGGCTTAAACTGGACTTCAAAATTTCCTTTTGTCTAAAGCATATAGTTAGGGCTGGATCAGGTGACTCTGAATCCTCCCTTAGTTATGCTGCAATAGGCGTAGGCTGCTGGGGATTCCCATGATGCATTGAGTATTTCTTCTTCAGTCACCTTCTTCACTCACTATGTGTTAATAGACCTCTCTGCATTGAATCATACTTGTTATTAATCTCTGTCTCTCTTCCACAGCATGTCTTTTACCCTGTCTTCCTTCTCTCACCCCAACCGGTCGCAGCAGATGGCTCCGCCCTCCCTGAGCCTGGTTCTGCCGGAGGTTTCTTCCTGTTAAAAGGGAGTTTTTCCTTCCCACTGTCACCAAAGTGCTTACAATGGGTCATGTGAGTGTTGGGTTTTTCTCTGTATGTATTATTGTAGGGTCTACCTTATAACATAAAGTGTCTTGAAGTGACTGTTGTCGTGATTTGGCGCTGCATAAATAAAATTGAAATTAATTGAATTATTTTTAGTTAAGTCACTGAGTAGCTTCTCAGTGACTTAACTAAAAAGCCAAAAGAAATTCCCTGATAAATTAAAACTATTCCTAGCATTATATTTCAAAATATCGCTTGAGCGTAAATGCCTACAATTCTGTTGTACTCTATACATGTCTGCACCTAACTGTGAGTGTGATCTACAAAAACATGCTGTTTAGCCATTTAAAAAGGTTGTCTTTGTAAGAGGGTACCATGTTGACAGTATAATCAATACTGTATCGGCAACCTGTGATGCAGGCTTAGTTTTTATTCATACAGACATTGTGCTGCTGTCCTGCATGCAATGATTCTGCATACATGTCAGTATTGTACATTTGTGTTTAAATTGTCCTTGTCTGACTGTTTAAACACTTATTGCACAATATTGGCTTTTTGTTAGATGAATAGCTTCAATTCACATATTGATTTTTCACCACAGTCTGCAAAGACATAAAACATACGCATCAGTTGTTCTGAGAGGAGAGTGATTTGCGGACCATGTTTAAAATATAGCTCCACTATGATTCTTTTTCCATCTTCCTTCCTTCTTTCTCTGAACCACCTTCTTCTTCTTCTTCTTCTTCTTCTTCTTCTTCTTCTTCTTCCATATGTTTGAATTTTAATAGAATATATACCAGAAATATTTCATAAACCTGAACATTCTTAGAACATTCTCTTGTAGTCCTCCCACTTCTGAAATATCATCTCATCTTTCTTTCCAAGATAAAATTACTTTGGATAATGAAGTCAGTGAGGAGATTTATTTTCAATTCACTGTTTTTAATATAACATCAAGTCACAACACGAGTCAGTCTAAGTCAAGAACATACAATAGAGAAAACCCACTGATTGAGCATGCACACTGTGAAAGTTGAGATGGTCCTCCATCTTTCAGTAAAAAATTACTGTTATGGCATTTGTCAGTCAATTCTCAATCTCCTTGTGAATCCACACTGCACATTTTTGCAGGTTTGTGACAGTTGCTATGGTTTCTGTGTTTGATTTGAAACACAGTTTATTTTTTAATGTGTGTCACTGTGCATATTTTTAAGAACATGTTGATAAAAACGTTTACACTGTGAAATAGTTTTTACAGTACTATACTATAATTATAGAGCACATAAACAATTAATTGTCATGGTCCTGGGGCTGTGATCCAGTATTTATGTCTTTGGACTTTGACTCTAGTTTATTTAATATTCTAAGGTTAAGATTTTGTTTGAGGTTTTATTTATTTTTAGAGTTGTAATATTTGTATTCTCAGATCTTAGTTTTGTTATCTAGTCTTTAGGTTTCTATTATCATGCCTCCTCTGTGTTCTACGCTCCTTCTTGTGTAGTCAGTCTTGTGTCCGTGCTTCTTTCCCTTTCTGTCTGTGTGTCAGGGTGAGTAGTCTGTACTTCCTGTCTTATTCTCTGTTCCCTTCCACCAATATCAGTTCCCTAGTATTTCGTCTATTTGTATGTATGTGTCTTTTTGTGAAGTCTGTTTGTTTACCTTTTTGTCTATGTCAAGCTCATGTGTCATAGTCACGCTGTGTTTATGTTTTATTTTGATAGTCCCTCAGTCCATGTTCTGCCTTTTTTGGTTGTAGGTGGATTCTATTCTGCTGAAGGTGTCTTCTCTCTGCCCTTACCTTATATGTGTATTTAAATCTTCAGGTTTCATTTGCTCCTTGTCATGTCATCATATGTCCTAACCCAGATTGTGTGCTCTTTCCTATTAATCTCCTAATAATAGTTTTGCTACTTTTAACGTCCCTGGTAGAGTTTAAGCCTGAGTTTTGTGTTCCCTAAGTCATTGAACTTCAGCAATAAAGCTGTTATTTAAGTTTAATCTCCAAGTCCTAGATTTGGGTTTACTTAAAACTGCAATAGCTAAGACCACTAAGTATGTCATTTTCCATTACGTACATACGTATGCTGGGCAAAAGTATTTAACATCAGGCTTATCCAGTAAGCTACCGAAATATCCTGGGTGGATGTTGAACTTTTTCTTACCTGGACCTCCACTCCATAGCCCGTATAGACAGTGACGATATAGTTGCAGTCAGTTGTAAAGTAAAAAGCAGAATTGGTGTGTGGTGGAGCCTCGATGTAACCTTCTGGACCAGTCAGGTTCAGCTGGCAGGGAACTGCAGGAACAACCACAGCAGCATAACAATAACACTGATAGAAACAGTGTGGACGCTGGTGCACAAACTACTCCATTCAAAACAGATTCAAAACTCCATTCCAAACAAAAGCTGCTCTCAATGCAAATGGTCCCCTTATTATGTTTTTGTTATAGTAATAACGACCAATAACCCTGTTATCTTATCTTCACTTACAGATTATAATAATAGGGTTTGAGTCTTTTAAGACACTTTATGTAATGTCAATACTTTCTGCAAACAGGAGATGCCAAAATGATACTATGCTTTAATTCTGGGTAACATTTTTGACCTTTCCAACTGTAGTTAAGGAAAATATTGATTATGTTCAATGTATCTTGAGGCCACAGAATCAGCTATTGATAGTTCAATGATTCTATTGTTATAACAGTCAGTCTGACACAGATATCAACTTAGTTTAATGTTTGATCTGTATCTGGATGTGTTATTTGTATAAGGCTTATCTGGCATTACCCACAATGCAGGTGAATGATAATTAAAAAGTGCTTGGACTGAGTGTATGCGAATTGGTTTGTAGTAAACAGTACTTCGAGTGCTTAGTTAGAGTATCCATCTATCTGTCTTCTGCCACTTATCCGAGTAAAGATGGCAGGGGACAGCAGTCTAAGCAGAGATGCCTGAACCCTCCTCATCACATCCAGCTCCACCAGCTCTTATGGGGGCACTCTAAGGTGTTCCCAAGCCAGTTAACAAACCTAATCTCTCCAGTGTGTCCAGTGTGCAAATCCCTGGGAGGATTTGCATGTCCTGGGAGAAACTAGAAGGTCATAATTGTCCCTCTAGTTAAGTTGTTCCTGGGTGAGATGCCAGACTATGTGCAATTTTGATGATGGAGACCTGACTCCAATAAGGAACAAGGAATACTTCTCAAAATCATCTGGTGGACAGGTCTTAATCCATGAGGCACTGCCCAGCACCTGCAGGAAGAGCTATAGAGGTACATTGTGTTGTGGACAGGGTCCCACATAGCAGACAGGTCTGGCCCAGATCTGGTGACAAGCCGGCACTGCTGGCTGACTTCTGGTATGGTAAATGGTATGTCATTCAGGTCAGGCCTGACGCAGATGGCACTGTTTATGTGATGGCATGCCACATCTGGCCCGATTGTGGTTTGGTTTATGTGGCCCAGGCTCATAGAAAACAGGTCTGGCCTGGATCCGGTATCAAGCTGGCACTTCTGACTGACTGGTGTCATAGCAGGGTGTATGTCAACCAGTTGTATGTTCCTATTTTCCTATTTTATTTAGAAGACCCAAATGCCATGTTGCAATACTACACTGCTATGGTAGCCAATGTTTCAAATGCAGGTTTGACAGGTTTCCAAAACCTATTGAGGGTTTACTCGCATTGAGCACCGGGTGGCTGTAGCTCAGGAGGTAGAGCAGGTCACCCACTAATCAGAAGGTTAGTGGTTTGATCTTTGGCTCTTCCAGTCTGCCTGTCAAGATTCTGAATATGTATAAATGTAGTCAGGAAGCACTCAGTTTAGAGGGAAGTGTGTGAATATGGCATGTTGTATGGAGCACTTGGAGTAATCCAGGAGAGTAGACAAGCGCTCTATAAGAAACAGCCCATTCACTGTCTGAACAGAGTTTCATACTGTTACTTTTGCACTGTTATGTTCTGGCACATGTTGTTATTACGTGGCTTGATTAAGGTACACATTAGCCTGACATCTGGGGCCAGAGCTGAAACTGTTCTGGGCCAGCACAGGGCCAGCAGTGTGTCTGCAACTGGCCCGTGGCTGCACACAACTTACACATGGCCCACATATTGCAAAGAATAACGGCCCTTTGGTGGCCCAGATCTGGTTTTCCAGAGGTAACCCACACATGGGCCAGCACGGGACCACCAGTGTGTCTGCAACTGGCCTTGTGCTGGCCCATGTGTGGATTACCTCTGGAAAACCAGATCTGGGCCACCAAAGGGCTGTCATTCTTTGGGCCATGTGTAAACACGTTGTGTGGGCTATGTGGGGTTGACCCTTGGGGGTTCAATCCCCAGCTGATTAACCCTAGAACAGTATCGCTGGGTGATTTTCACCCGAGCAAATACATTTACATGATTTCTCTCTCCTGCAGCTGTGAGCGTGTCGAGGAGACTGTGCCTTCACCAGGGAAGTCTGGTAAATAATTACAGTGGGGTAAATAATTATTTTAAGACCTGTTGATCAGTCAATCAATCAACCACTCCAACCAACACAGACGCTACTGATCTGAACTCATTATGTGCATAAAGCAAATAACACTGATATTGTTAAAACAATTTCAATTTTTCTGATCACAGAAAAGGATTCCCAATTCCTAATTTGACTAATTTGCCATGATCAGTTTTAATTGAACTTAACTGAGAAGATAACAGTGCTTCTATATCCGGTTCCCATTTAGCTTGTTCATTCCATGATAGAGCTTTAACTGCAGTTATGGATTGCATGGCGAACTGTGTTCATATATGATCATTTCTTAATGTTCCTGAGTCCATGTAGTGATTTAAATGATAAATGGTAAATGACCTGTATTTGTATAGCGCTTTACTTAGTCCCTAAGGACCCCAAAGCGCTTTACGCTA